TGAATTTCCCTAACTCATCCCGTCTGGTGGTTTCACGGTTTTATCAACATCTTTATCATTTGCTTTAAAAAAAAAATCAGTCATTGTTTTATTCTTATTTTTAGTCATTCTCTATCAACAAACCTCCCAAACATTTTTTATTCTTATGCACTCAGCTAGGTTACCATCGTACTCCTGTCCTGGGGATGCATTTCTGCAACCGCGGACAAAGCCTCCCTCCCCAGCACACTTTCTCCATCCCGCCCTACCACGCCCATTCACCGAGTCTTTCCCGCCGACAAGGGTGGGGTTGAGTACTTGGTCCCTGCGTCTGCGTGGCTTCCCTGGAAATCCAAACTGGAGTTTCGTCTCTCTCCACCTCACCGCAACTTTCCTAACAGGGAAATGTTATTTGTTATCCTCACAGGATTTCTAAGAGGATTCCTATGCAAAGTACAACACAGTTTCTGCCTCATGTCAGGAGTTTCAGGGTTAAATGTCATATACCTTATTTGTAAAGTTAGAAACAGCGTGAGTCACAAAAACAGGGGCATCAAAATAACCCATGCATTTCCCCACACGACCTTGCCCTCTGTCACCCGGCAGGATATGGGATAGTACACTGGGGCAGACTGTTAGGTTGTTTGGAGCTCACACAGCCCCCCAATTGTCCTCCCTTCTCTGTCACTGCCTTCCTGTCCCAGCACCTGCAGCTTTGGACGAGGATGCCCTTCAGCAGTGCCCAAGCAGCACATGTAGTGGGGTCTCGACTTATCCTTCTTTCTGATCTGTGTAGCTTAAGAGCAAAGCAAGCCCATTAGAGGGTAAACTGAGCCCCACTGAATCAGATCCTAATCCCTGACATCTGTAATTATGACTGGATATGACAGTAGCATTGTGATTGTGGCTAAATAAGGAATGGCAAGATAAGAAATCACTTTATTCACTGGGTTCTGAGTACACTCGCTAAGTCCTTATATGACTTAGGAAGAATGGTACACCAGGGTATTTCAAGGGCCCGTTACTCTACAGAAAGTTTGCAAATACAAGAAAAACTCTAAGAATAGATTTTGTTAAGCCTCTGATAAATTGTCAAAAGATTTACAGGAAGTAGGTGAAAAATCAAGACAAAGAAAAAACAGACACTGTGAAACCGAAAGCTGACCCCAGGGAAAGGAATGAAGACAACAGAGCACACAAGAAAGAAACAAAACAAAAACAAACAGAAAAACTCTTTTAAACTGTTTTGGGAAGTTTACTAAATAAGGAGCTAGACCCACAAAGAGAAATCACAAAATGGCCCTGCAGAAAGGAAACTTTCACACTGTAGTATTAGAAAAGTCAAATTCCCAGCATAAATATGAGATACACGAAGAACAGAAAGTATGCTTAATTCAAAAAGACAGAGAAAAGCCTCCTGTAACTGAGTGGAGGGTGCACACCCTTTATACGTAGGAGGTGAGGAGTGCATGCCAGCTGCTTAAATACATGCAAAGATGTTAAGGAAATTTGAACAAAAAAGCCAGAATCAACTTTAGGTTTGGTTGGTTTTCTTTTTATTTTATCTTCACTCTCTTTGTTTAACTCTGTTCTAATCTTGTTTCCTTCTTTGTGTTACCTTGAGTTTTAGTTTTCATGTGAAATTCTTAAAGTTTCAAGGTAAGTTGTTCACTTAAATAATCCTTATTTTTATAAATTTCGGATGACCTCTGTTTTTTCTTGCTACAACAAAAATTGCATGTACTATTTTCATGATCATGTTTCCCAAACTACTTTATAATTTTCCTGTGGTGCAACTTTATCTCTTGTTTTGTATGAGTGTATTTTACACCCAAATGACAACAACCACACAAGCTGACTATGTAGAAGAGACAGTTCAAAATTACCAAACTCATAAGCAAAGGTGAGGAAATAACTAGTTACCTTGTACAGGTAAAATGATTATATTGAAATATTATGAGTAATTGTATACACAGTAATTGTGTAATACAGATAAAATATAAATTTCTGGAAAGACAGGTACTACTAAAACTGACTTCAGAGAAAGAGAAAACCTGAATGTATCTACAACTTGTAGAGATTAAATTAACAACAAACAACTTCCTAGCAAAGGATATCCCTGTCACAAGTGGGTGACTTCACTCATGAATTCTCCCAAGCGTTTCATTAGAAAATAAGATTATGGGCCAGGGATTTAGCTCAGTGGTTATGTCACCTGCTTCGCAAGTGTAAGGTCCCTAGTTTCATCCCAAGTACCCCCCAAAAGTGAGGGGGGCAGGGATTTAGCTCAGTGGTTCTACCACCTGCCTCACAAGCATAAGGACCCTAGTTCAATCCCTGGTACCCTCCAAAAAAGAAAATAAGATTATGACACAGAAGAAAACAATGAGGGTTTTGGGTAGATTCCTGTGGCTGCTGCAACAGATTCCAGCAAGCTTACTCAATGTGTACTCTTTGATTTTTTTTTATGTTCTGGAAACCAGACAATGGAAATCATCTCAGTGAGTGGAAATCTATGGTCTCTTCACCATCTCCGGAGCTGACTTCATTGTTGACCTCTTCCATCTTCCAGCGGCTGCCAGCTTTCCACGGCTTGTGGCCACATCCCTGAGGGTCCCTGACTCCTCCTTTGTTTATGGTTAAATCTTGCTGACTTCATTTTTATAAGGATTGCTTTAGGTTTCAGGCACATACAGAAAACCCTAAACGACTACTCTTTGCTAAAATCTTTCACTTAATCACATCTGCAGTGCTTTAGGGATGCATAGAATAACATTGAAACATTTCAGAATTAGGTCTTGGCTCTTTTGTGGGCCGTTATTGAGGCTGTCACAGTCCCACGTGGCATCATCCTGCACCATCTTGAGAATCATTTCAGTTAACTGCATAGTTCATGTTTATGGAGAAATTTCTGAAATATAGTCAGAAAGGAGTCCTTTAAAAATGTTTATATTTAATATGTTCTTGTGAGTTACCCGGTAGTAGTTATTTGATGTTAACTTAATGAGATGACACTTTTAGTAAAAATGATGAGAAGGTTGAGATGATCTACTCCCATTTCCCAGGAAATCATTTTGGCTAAAAGTGAGGATAGTGAGAACTGATTGAGAATGTAGGAAGAAAACATTTCAGCAATGAAGAAAATTAGTGGTGCCTCTTGAAATGCAGGGGATCTTGACCTATAACTTTTTTCATGAATCATTATTGTAGAACATGGTTCAGGGCTCAAAATTTTGGTACAACCACAAAAAGTTCAATTATTTTATTAATTCATGTAACAAATGTTTATTGAGGGACTGCCACAAAAAACACCTACTCAGGAGCAGATGATCATAACCGGAGAGAACCACTGCTCTTCTTGAGTCTACGCTTTAACTGGGGATATTGAATATGAAAAAAATGAGAAAATATATAGTAGGTAAGTTCTGGTAAAAATCATGAAGAATGTCTTTGGAAGAGGAGCCAGTGCACATGGTGAATAGGGAGTGACTAGGCCATGCAGGCAATCAGCATGGACCCCGTGAATCAATAGGAGTAAAGCCGAGAACCAAGCATTGTAAGAAACCTCTACATGGGTGACAGCACATACAAAGGCCCTGAGACATGAGCCTGGTTGATGTGAAGAAATGGCAAGATAATCATTGCAAAAGTAGAGGGGTGAATGACTGGGGAGGGCCAAAAGAGAATGTAACTCAACTAAAAATGAGCGGTCAAAATAAACAACTGTAAAGCTTTTGCAGAAAGAAAATTGTAGAACATTATTGGTTTCTCATCTTAATTTTTAAACGAAGTTTATAGTAATATATTAGTACATTACAATACTTCTCCTTTTCCTGCATTTTTGTAGTCTATGTGTGTTTGGGAACAGGAAGCTAAGGGAGTGTTGTTTGTACAAAATGACTTAGCCAAACCTAAACATCAATTCACATGAGATGCCGTATTTATGGGTCTCTTGGTGCAATGTACAACGGGAAAGCGCATGTTTTCATTTACCAATATCATGCTTCTCTCCAGACAGGATTCTTAGGATAGCAGTAAAAAGACACAAAGACATCTCAGTCAAAACATATACTGACGCTGCAGTTCAACTGTTATTAGGCACAAGTGATTAGTGGGCATTCTCTAGTGAAAGAGCCCAGCACACGTGTGGATGGATGTGTAAGAGAGGGCTTGGTGTGGAAGTCAGCCTGTATGGAGGCTACGCAGTCCCTTTCCGTGCTCCCCAAAGCTGGCACCGAGGACGGCTGTGCGACAACTCAGTCTGAGTCACAGCCCTGAGGCAGGTGGGATGGGGTGAAGTGCTGGTGAAGCCTTGGGACCAAGGGGTGCGATCCAGGCTCAGGTCACCAGCTCTGGTGTGCAAACTGAAAGGAGCAGGGCATCCTAGTGAAGGACAGAGGGGTGCCGGGAGAGGAAGAAGACAGACAGACAGACAGACAGACAGAGAGCCGGTGCACCATCCCCACCTGCGGCTGTATTCCCAAGAGCTCTCCAAGGGCTAGGGGAGGGCGGGTCTTCCTGACTGGTCTGCCCATTCAAATCCTACACTCTTTTGAAAACACAATGTTTTCCCAGTTGTCTAGGTATCATTTCATTCACTGAAATCATCATTAAACTGACCAAAACAAACAGCCGGATTGCATTTAATTCTAACTAATCCACAGATCCATAGGTAAGAAACAAAATGAGAAATCAGAAGGCATTTCTTTTGTCTGTGGTCTCCCATGAGAACCTGTTGCACGTGTTTGTATTCAAGTGAGGAAGGAAAAATGCACAGAAGGTAAGTAAAACATCCATATCCCTAATGTGGCTCTGCGAAAGCAGATCTTAAGATATCATAGACATTCTCATTTAGGTATTTATTTCTGGATGTAACATTTCTCTTTTCCAGACAACAGATTTTGCAGATATATGTATCATTTCATGCATTTAACTCCACCGTGACTTGGTACATGGTGAAGGTCTGAGAGAAAAAACTCTAGGAATTGTGTGCTGCATGAATCAAAACCCAAAACTAGAAATTATTTTGTCCGACAGATGAATCTGCTCTTGACCTTTAAGAATGCGCTCTTGACCTCCTTGTTCCTCAGGCTGTAGACCAGTGGGTTCAGCATGGGGATCACCATGGTGTAGAACACGGATGCCATCTTGTCTGTGTCCATGGAATGACTGGAGCTGGGCTGCAGGTACATGAAGATGACCGTCCCATAGAAGATGGAGATGGCAGTGAGGTGGGAGGCACAAGTGGACAGAGCCTTCCAAGGTCCTGCACTTGAGTGCATCCTTAGGATTGTGATAAAAATGAAAACATAGGATATCCAGACAACTAAGAGAGCAGAAAAGATATTGAAGCTCACAACATAAACAAGAACCAGTTCATTGCGATGTCTATCAGAACAAGAGAGGACCATAACTGCTGGAATATCACAGAAAAAGTGATGGACCACATTGGAGTTACAGAAGGAGAGACTGAATGTGTCCCCAATGTAGGTGGCAGCACTCAGGAGAGAGATGGCATAACAACCTATAATCAGCCAAGTGCATATATTTGTTGTCATTCCAGAAGCATAATGTAGGGGCTTGCACACTGCGGCATAGCGGTCATAGGCCATTGCAGCCAAGAGGAAATTCTCCACACTGGCAAAGACTGCAAAAGAGAACATCTGAGTGACACAAGCACCATAGGAAATGACCTGGTCTCCTGTAAGCAACCCAGCCATCACTGAGGGAGTGACAGCTGAGGAGTAACAAAAATCCACCAGGGACAGGTTACCCAGGAAATAGTACATGGGAGTGTGCAGACAAGGGTCCAGGAGGATCAGCAGGAGCATCCCCAGGTTTCCAGCAACGGTGATGGTGTAGATGAGGAGGAAGGTGATGAAGAGGGGAAGCCGCAGGTGTGGGTCATCGGTCAGTCCGAGCAGGAGGAACTGGGTCACCTCTGTCCTGTTCTCCATCAGTGTCATCTGAGAACTGGTAGATGCTCTGTAGCAATGAGAAAAAGGGAACAGAGTGATCACAAATTGAATTGAAATAGGAAAGTACACAACATAGTATAACATAGTTTCAGTATAACAATAACTTGAACTTCTAGACTCTCCAGAAACATCATTACCTTAAAAACCAAGTTGAGTATATTTGTTAATTACACACAGGGTTACATACGGTCACATGTGAGGAATCCTAGTGTACTCGGCACACATTTAAAATTTTCTACACTGGCTAAGTTGTAGGCAATGAAATAACTTGATGGAACCAACTGTGGATGAATCCATCTGCCACTTCACCCCTGAGCTCAGTAGGAGCTGATATGCCTGTGTGCTCAGGGTCTCCTCCAAGTAAGACAGTGAGCTCGATTTGCAGTTATTTCCATGCTTCTGCACAGGCTTTGGAGTAATTTATTCACAGCAGTGCAAGTGTTAATTGACTATCCAACATTCAAACCATGCCAAGTGCTTCCTGAGTCTGAGTCCAATGTAGATCTAAATTAAATTCAATGTAACTGAATTTATAATTACTTCCCATCTCCTTTGGTTCAAAATCATTTTGTGAGGTTTCACAGTGAGGAAGTAAGTGAGCCATTGGCGCTAATTTCACCTTGTTCTCTGTATATGTTAGTCTTTATTGGAGGAAAGCAAAGAAGCAAACCTCCATAAAACTGAATGAGCTTTCTTTCAATGGCAAAGGGATGCCTTCCTGAAGTAACAAGATCTGAATGTCTTTCCAACTGTTTCCCCTGGATCTAATGCTTATTATCACTAGCACAACTACATATCAAAGACTTGGAAAAATATAAACCTTAGATTATGTCAAGATGGTGAACCTTTTAGAGCTTTCAATTATAACAAACCGCCCACTGTGGCGTGCATGCCATAGGTTCGCCACCACTGCATTAGGTTAATGCTTTGCTTAGGTCTTGAATCCTCATAGCATCTCTCTCCACTGGAGTTGAGGTTGGATAACTGGGGTGGTGGGAGCAAGTAGGAAAAGATGTTTCAGAACTGCAGAAAATTAGTTGTGTCTCTTGAAATGTACTGAACATAGCCAGTGATACAAGGCTTAAATTTTTGTTACAATTACCTTATTCATTTACGTATATTCAATTGCTTCATTCATTCATTTAACAAAGTTTTATTGAGAAATTGCTATGAAAAACACATCTATTCAGATCTCAGAAGAAATGTAGAAGCAATTCTGAGTGGAGGCCTAGCATCAGAAGTGGAATCCATAAAACGGATGCAAACAGAGTTCCAGGAGATTAAAAACTCTACAGAGAACTCAGGTACTTGGAAGACAGATTTAAGACCTAAATTTACCACCTGAGGATCACTGGTCCCAGGCCAACTCTAATGAACATTGTATTTCCTTCTGCAAAATATAGTTATGAGACATAAGTTGAGGTAGTATTGTGAGAGGTGAACAAGATAATGCCTGAATACAGTGAACTGCTGGCCTGTGAGTGCTGGCTGTCATGTTACTAGGAGAATGGAATTTTGGTCTCTGTGTTGGTGGGATCAAGGTGAATGCTAACACACAGGTCTTCTGCTGTAAGTGGTTTTGAAGTTTCCCTCTCTCTTTGCTTTCTTTCCTACACTAGCACCATGACTATTTGCAGCACTCTCCAGTACTTTTCAGCCTCAGTTTCTCCAAGTATACAATTGTTGATTTTGCAATTCCATATAGGGCATTGTTTTTGAAAATTTCTTTCTTTTTTCTCATTGAGTTTATTGGTACATTTTAGGTATACAGTACAGTTACATTCATCATTGGGATCATGTACCTTTACATGATAGCTTTTGGTTCTCATTTTTTTCAACCTGCCCAAGATTAAAACTAGACCCTTATCTTGCACCATGCACTAAATTAAAATACAAGTGGATTAAAGATCTAAATATTAAAACAGAAACACTTGCTGGAAGATAAGTTAGGCAGAACTCTTGAAGAGATTGGCATAGGAAAAGACTTTATGAACAAATCCTCAGTAGCACGGGAACTAGCAGAAAGAATCAACAACTGGAATCTCATCTCATTAAAAAGCTTCTGCACTGCAAAATAAACCATCAACAGAACTAGGAGACAACCTACAATGTGGGATTACCAGCTGCTCCTCAGACAAAGGACTATTATCTAGAATATATATAAAGAACTAAAAAAAAACCCAGCCCCCCCAAATATGAAGACCCAATTAAAAAGTGGGCATGTGAAATGAACAGACATTTCTCAGACAAAGAAGTAAAAGCATCAAGTAAATATATGAAAAAATGTTCCACATCACTGGTCATTTGAGGGATGCACATGAAAACAACACTGAGATTCCACCTCACCCCACAAAGAATGGCTGCTATGAAGAAATCAACCAATAACAAACGTTGGCGGGGTTGTGGGGAGAAAGAAAATTTCTTAATTGAAATTCATATTTTAGTCTGGGAAAAATAGTCTACTATTCCTAAAATTCATTATTTTTCTCACAGCTTCATTCCATACCAAACAAAGACCAAATGTTGAAAGTTCCCAGTTTACAGGCTATCTTTAGCTCTCAGATGGCATGTCCCTATCTTAAAATATTATGTTCAAATCTCTTCTTAAGTTGTAGCAATATTTAAAATTTCTTTTTAGAATTGAAGCCTTGGAAAAGACATCCAGTCAACACTCACTATTATCCCCAAAGTTTTTCTCTTAAGCTTCTGACAATTTCAGTTTTGAGGTTGCTCTATGAAGATATTATCTCTAGGACAAATGATCACTTTTAGCACATACTATGTTTTATAATAAAGCGTAATGAGTTTACATATAAATTTTATATGTAGGTGTGTATGTGTTTGTGAGCAAGGCAGTTGATAGTATTATTCTCACTTTATCCATAAAGTATTTGAGAGACTGTGAGATCCTCTAACATTATACACTTCCTGTGAGGAACTCTCTTGATGCAAGATCTTAAGCCACCTCCTAATAATTATCATGGGCTGGGGGCAAAAGTGTTGAATGCATTTCAGAGCCACTTTTTTCATTTAGAAGTCCTGGGTGGTACAAAGAAGAATCATGGCACTATTCTGGGTTTTTGTGAGTGTTTCTTAAACCCCTAATGAGTTGTAAATATATATAGAAGGAAATAAAAGTCATCAATTAGTCGAAACACCATCTATCTTATTGTTTGCTTATATTTTTAAAAATAATGATCTTTATATGGATTCTGTATATTTATCATGATAGAAATTTTGACATTTAACCGCCAGGTTCCCCTCAGTTTTCAAAATTTTCAAAAATTTTGTGAAAACCCCACTTTCTGTTCTCTGATGACTCATAGTATGTGGAGGTGGCCAATTTCTTGTGCGTCAACCACACTTCTCACTAAGAGGTTTATGGAATATGGAAGCTCAATCTTTTGCTAGAAAAGAATCTACAGCAGTGAGTTGGAAATCCCCAACTCAGCCATGGCACCTTGCATGAATTCTAGTAGTGGAGTTTCCCTCCAATGGTCCAAGTGTTCCGACTCCTCCCCCGCAGGCAGGAATGGAGGAAAGAACATTAACCTGGATCAGCTTCCATCCATCATGAGTTCTTCCTATGCCCCTGCAAGAATTGCTCACCTTCTCCTTATTCGGAGAATAGAAGATTATCTCTGTAACATGAGTTACAGATCCTAATCCGAAAATAAAAGAGGTCCATCGGATAAGATGTAAAGAGGCTATCATTTAAAAATCACTGCATTTTAAAATTTGAATATTTTCTCTGTCCATAGTCACAGGCTTCTAGCAAATCCTCAGGTCAGAAGAGCAGCAGTTTGTATTATCAGTGATTATCAATGCCATGAATAAGTGAAGAAGTGATGCTCTCAGGGCTTGGCAGACAGGACATTCCTCCTAAACATCATGTTGAGTCATTGGGTTTATATAGGCTAATGGTACATGCAGATCTGGAGAGAATTATTCAGACTCCAGGACCTCTAGAGACTGTGTGACTGTCTACTGCTTCTCATTCTGCTTTCTGGGGGAGAAGCAATTAAACTGCCTACAGGGACTGAGCTGGCTGTTATATTTTTAAAATTACATTTACTTTTAGAGGCAAATGAAGACACAAACACGCTCTGTATCATTTACCCAAGATGTTTCTATGCAAACACACATGGTGTGCATGTTTCACACTTTCCCTTATCCATTCTTCAGTTGATGAGATCAGAGTTATTAGCAGTTGAGAACAGTGCTGTATGGTGAGCCATCATGGTGAGCCTTGACATAGGCCTAGCCATGATTGAACTTTGAGTCATCTCACCGGCACGGACATGCTGTCGCCCATACCAACGGGAAAGTTCAGCAGGTAGCAGATGTAACCCATAATGGTTGTTATTGTTTCCCTCTGGGATGTGTGGGTGGTACCCTCGCTCCCGTGCAGCCCTCGCTCCCATGCAGCTGAAGAGTATAAATGTTTACACTTTTGGTTTCGGTTTTAGCCTGAATATACCCCACCCTGAAAAATAAACGGGGCCTTGCTAAGATAGAGCATGAGCCTGGAACTAAGTTCGTGAAACTGCTCTCCTGTTGTTCCTCCCTCTAGTTTGGGACCTGCTGGCACGATTCTGACGTTGCAGCTTGCGACAAGTGGTGCCCGAACAGGGACCTGAGTAAGAAGGACATCGAGGAGAGCGCCCTGCGATCCAGGGCACTACAACAAGAACCGCGACTGATCCCTGCGGCTCCTGCCGGTGAGTGACACGGGACGATAGTTCTGATCACGGCAGTAGAGGGAAATGTTGTAGAAGAGGGTGCCGCCGATGAGAGACAGGGGGCGATAGTCCTGATCACGGCAATAAAGGAAGTACCTGCCGGTGAGAGACAGGGGACGGTAGTCCTGATCACGGCAATAAAAAGGAACTGGCTGCTAGTGAAAGACGGGACGTTAGTCCTGATCACAGCAGTAGAAGTAAGGGCCACCGATGAGAGACAGGGGACGTTAGTCCTGATCACGGCAG